GCCACTCCAACCACTTTTTTTACTTTCCTAGATTCAAACGGACTTGCAAATTTAAGTGCAAGTAAAAAAAAATCAAGACTTCAATTTAACTAACAAAAAGAAGTTGCACAAATAAAATAAAATAGTAGTATCACTTCTTTGGGAAACTCGAGGAACTTCAAACACTTTTTTGGACTTATAAAATTCAAATGGACCTGCAAATTTTGATAGAAGTCAACCAAAATAAGAAGTTTATTCCCATTAGTAACAAAAATAATACAAAGGAGATTAAGTAGATAAAGCTAAGAAAAATTTCTTGATCAAATAGATTAACCAATCTAACTATTTTGCAAATGATCACTTCTTTGAGTATCTCGAGTCACTTCCGCTTCTAGAAAGAGGGCGTTATTGTCTTCCATTGGATTAAATTCAGGAGGCATAGGGATACTTTTCTTTGCTGGCTTGTTTCGACTAGAAGTTGTTGTAGTATTTCTATTTTCGCCAATCATAGTCCTGTTTTCAGCATTAATCCTTAAGCTTTGTCCCTGACCCCTTGCATCATTGGTCAAAAGTGTATTGATTCATTTTAGCTTCTTGATGGAGGGGAGCATTGTCTTCCTTTTCCTCAAAACAAGGATGCACATGGAAACTATTGTCTGCTAGCTTATTCAACATAGAAGTTGTTGTATAGTAACTTCTATTTTTGGCAATCAGAGTCCTTTGTTCAGCATTAACTATGATAGTGCTCATAGTTTTCAAACTTTGACCTAGTCCCTTTGCTAAGGCACCTGGATGAATGAGTTCATGCTTGGGAATTTTTGAAGTTTGTCCAATTTCATACTTTAGAGTTTTTGAGGGATTCATGTTAACCTAGATAATACAAAAAAAATAATACGAGCAAAGTCTTCCAAAAAAAAGTTCAAATAGGTTAGGAAGTTTTTCATAAGAAGAAATGTGAATTGAAAACACATTCAGAAAAGAGACGCATGTACATGTAACATAGGTTCCTTGCATGAACTATTACTACTATAGTAAGATCAACGTAACATTCAAGACCAAGTGCATCAAACAAATTTTCATAGAAATACTATAAAGAATTATTAGCATAAAAAAATAATAAAGTAAAAGAAAGAATGACAAAGCTCCAAACCTTAATGAGTTATTTTTCTTTTCACTTGTGTAGAGTTATTTAAATCTTCTAGGTCATCATCATTTTTTTCCAAATTATCAAAAGAATCACGAGGTTGAACCTTTTGCACTATGTGCCAACCTTTATTGGAATGATCGATAGCATAAAATACTTGTGATGCTTGGCTAGCTAATACAAATGGCTAATTTATTTTCAAATATCTCCAACTGTTAACAGTTACAAAGCCATATTCATCCATATTAACTCCCCTTTTTTGATCATACACATCAAACCACATACATCAGAATAAAATCACTCTTCTTTCCCCAACAAATTGTAATTCAAGAACCTCGGTTAACTCGCCATAGTAATTCATATGTTTTTGTTCTTCACTGGTCTCACCTACTACAACCACTCCACAATTTTGAGTTTTCAAATATTGATCATACTCTTTCACATGAAACCTATATCCATTAACAATATGGCCATTGAATCTTGTGACACATGGCAAAGGGCCACGTGATAAAGATAGCAAATCTTCCATATTCTTTCTATCATCATGTTTGTATAATCCTGCAACCTAACAAGATCAAATAGCTTTTTAGAAAACAATATTTAATTGCATACTTGATTTAAGAAAACTGATTAATTTTTACTAACCTTTTTTTGTAACCAACTAATGAATTTTTATTCCACTCCATATCTGAACTTTGTTGAGAGGTCTCACTATAAATTTATGAAAATTCTCTAACAAAGAATTGAAGTTTTACATGTTATTTAAAATTAAACATATAGATAAGGTATAAATAAATTATTAGATTAAATCAATACTTACTCGAGAAATGGTTGAATTTCATCACAATTCTTCAAAATATAAAAATGTGCGTCCTCCATATCATTTGAATCAAGTTTGTCTGGTGTGCTACCCTTTAAACTTTTTCTAGGTTCACAAAATATTGTCAAACTACCCTCAGATTCAATTACACCACCATCATAAGTTTTCTCCGGACAATTAAACTTTTTCTTTATTGTATTCAAATACCTTGAACATAATGTCATACATTCAACTGCTAAATATCCCTCTACAATCGAACCTTCAAGGTGAGCCATATTACCAATAAAACACTTCAAAAAGTTTAGATATCTCTCTATTGGATACATCCATCGATATTGAATTGGTCCGGTAATCTTAGCTTCATCAGGTAGATGAATAGACAAGTGCACCATGACATCAAAAAATGCAGGAGGGAACACCTTTTCTAACTTGCACAATGTTTTTGGTATTTGAGCTTCTATTTGTTCCAACTCCTCTACGCACAAACATTTTGCTTCAAGAACTTTGAAAAAAATAGACAACTGAATAAGTGGTTCAGACACATATTTGCAAAGCATACCATGCATGGCAAGAGGGAGTAAATGTTGTAGAATTATATGACAATCATGACTTTTTAATCCTGAAATTTTTTTATCCTTAAGGTTGACACATTGAAAAATATTTGAGGAAAATCCATCTGAGACCTTTAAATTCTTCAAAAATTTGAAAAACTTTTGCTTATCTTCATCAGATAATGTGTAAGGTGCTGCTGGCAACTCATATTTATCTCCATTTTGTATTGGATGCAATTCTTTTCATATTTTCATTTGTTGTAAATCCAACCAAGTACTCAAGGTGTCTTTTGTTTTCCCTTTGACATCTAAGATTGTCCCCAAAATCTGTCACATATATTCTTTTCAATGTGCATCACATCAAGATTATGTCGCAACAATAAGGTTTTCCAGCATGGAAGATCAAAGAATATACTCTTCTTATTCCAGTTATCACCCCTTTTCTTGTGTGATATTTTAATCTTCTTTTGTTGATCCTTTGTTAATGGCAACCCATCTAAATCAGCAACCTGATCAAGAATATCATCACCGGACAACATTTTAGGCAGTAGCCTGTGCTCAATAGTGTTATCAAATGACATTTTATCATTTCTCCATTTGTGATTAAGAGGAAGATAGTGCATGTGGCCCATACAACACTCTTTTTGTCCATTGTTTAGCCTTGTAGAGCAAGTTTTTTTTATTGCAACATGGGCAAGCCAATTTTCCTTTTGTACTCCATCCAATTAGCCTTGTATAATGTGTTTTTTTATTGCAACATGGGAAAACGAGTTTTCCTTTTGTACTCCATCAAGTCAAATTTGCATATGCTGGAAAGTCATTAATGGTCCACAACAAAGATGCATGTAATGTAAAATTCTTTCTAGTTGATGCATCGAATGTCTCGACTCCACTTTCCCATAATTCATTCAACTCCTCTATCATAGGTTGCAGATAGATATAAATTGCATCACCACGACTCTCAGGGCCAGGTATAAGCATTGACAAAATAAAGTTCTCTTGATTCATGCAAAGCATTCATGCAAAGCCAAGGTGGAAAATTATAGGGAGTAAGTACCACATGCCAAATGCTGTACAGAGTTTTCGACATTCCAAATGGTTGAAACCATCACTAGCAAGTCCAAGTCATACATTACGAGGCACAACAACAAAAGATGGGTGAAGCTCATCAAATTTTTTCCATGCCATTGAATCTGCTGGATGCCGCATTATTCCATCATCAACTCTTTTGTCATGATGCCATAACATCAAAGGATATATCTTTGAGCACATAAATAATCTTTGAAGCCTTGGCTTTAGAGGAAAATAACGTAAAAACTTGCATGGTATCTTTCTTCTTTTTTTCAATTTTGTTTCCCCACTATGTTTATCATCCTTCCATTTAGATGTACCACAAACTTTGCAAGATTGAAGACAATTATCATCCTTCCAATATAACATGCAATCATTCTTACATGCATCAATCTTTTTACAAGAAGGCCCAACATCGCAAATTACCTTCTTTGCCTCATAATATGAATACGGCAAGTTTGTTCCATCCAACAATAAATCATCTTTCAAAAATTTCAACAACATCATAAATGACTCATTACTTCAATGACCAATACTTTTAAAGTGAAGCAATTTGACCAAAGTAGAAAGCTTAGAAACTTTTGCACTTTCATATAATGGTAGATCAAGATCTTTCAATAACCTATAAAATCTGCCCAACATCGCAAATTACCTTCTTTGCCTCATAATATGAATACGGCAAGTTTGTTCCATCCAACAATAAATCATCTTTCAAAAATTTCAACAACATCATAAATGACTCATTACTTCAATGACCAATACTTTTAAAGTGAAGCAATTTGACCAAAGTAGAAAGCTTAGAAACTTTTGCACTTTCATATAATGGTAGATCATGATCTTTCAATAGCCTATAAAATCATTTTGCATCATCATTTGGTTCCTCCTCCAGCAAATCATCACCACTATTATTCATATTATCTCAATTAAAATTGGGGTACAAATTAAAAGGGAATAGATGATTGAATGATCGTTGTTTATTCTATGATACATGATAGGGTATATCAAGGATGATACCCCAACTACAATCCGTATAAGTCTCAACAGTTCTCTGTATCTGAACAGAGTCCTACAATTTGAAAAGAAGTAAAAGATCCGTAAAATCTAGCAAACAAATAACAAAGAATAGTTACAGTAGGTCTGTTTCGCTGTTACGCCCTCGCAAGTTGGTGGTGACATCGACAACACCCAACTTGTTGAAAAATCATTTGAAGGAAGCACACGGAAGTGGCTTAGTGAGTATGTCCACAACCTAATCAACAGAGTGTAAATGCTTCACTTCAAGAGTGTTTTTCTGCACCTGTTCCCGAACAAAGCGGAAATCAATCGCAATATTTTTCATTTTGCTGTGGAACAAAGGGTTCTGGAAAATGTAGGTTGCACTAACATTGTCACACATGATTTTGGGAAGTCCAGTGACTATAAACTGAAGTTCTTGTCAAAGATTGACTAGCCAATTAATTTTTGCAGCAGTAGTTGCTACAACATGATATTCAACCTCTGTAGAAGAACGTGAAAATGAGCGCTGCTTCTTGAAGGACCAAGAAATAGGTTTGTTTCCAAGATAAACCACGTAACCAGTAGTGGAGGTGCGATCAATAGGCTCTTCTTCCCAGTCAGAGCCAGAATAAGCAACCAACCTTGAATCTTGCTCCTTAGGCACTTGAATACCATAGGAGAAAATTCTATTGAGGTACCTGAACAAACGTTTAACCACCTTCCAGTGATATTAGTTAGGACAATGCATAAACTGAGCAAGCTTGTTTATAGTAAATGCAATATCTGGCCGAGTGAATGATAGATATTGAAGCATGCCGATGAGCTGTTGATATTTGGAGATATCAACTGATGAATCACTCTTCAAAGCAGAAAAAACTGTGATGGAGCACATTGGTGTAGGAACACCTGTGTTGTCCTACCTATGAACATCATGTAGTAGATCCATAATGCAATTTTTTTGAGACAACAAAATACCATTAGTAGTGCAAAGGACCTCAACTCCCAAAAAGTAATGCAGTGCACCAAGATCCTTAATAGAGAAACGATTAGACATACCATTAATAATATGACGAACACCAGAGAAGTGATTTCCAGTAATTATTATGTCATCGACATAAAGGAGCACATACGTTGTAAAGCCAGATGTATTAAAAATAAATAGGTAGGAGTCAGACTTGCAGTTATTGAAACCTGCTTAGATGAGATAGTTTTTTAGTTCAGTATACCAAGCCCGAGGTGCCTTCTTAAGACCATAAATCGTCTTCTTTAGTTTGCAGACGTGATGATGGAAATAAGAGTTTTCAAATGGTTGTCACATATAAACTTCCTCTTCAAGTCGTCTCTGCAGAAACACATTATTGGCATCTAGGTGATGAAGGGGCCAATTATGTTGAGTTGCGATGGAAATGACCAATCGCACCGAGTTGTTTTAACTACTGGGTTGAAGGTAGAATGAAAGTCGAGGCCAGGTTGTTGAGTAAACCCTGGAGCAACTAGATGAGCTTTATACCTATTAACAGAACCATTAGGAGAATGTTTTATGCGAAATAACCACTTAAAATCCACCACGTTCTTGGACGGTTCATAGGGTACCAATGTCCACGTCTGATTTCTAATAAGTGCATCAAACTCAACTTGCATGGCATCTCTCCACTGGGGTTGAGATTGGACTTATTTGTGAGTTCTGGGAATTGAAATATTTTCAGTGGTAATAAGAAACTGGGCAGAGGGATGTCGGATACTCTTGGATCGAGTAATCAAATGGCTGGAGGGTTTGGAAGATATGTTTGTTGACTGAACTTGTGAGGGTTTAGAAGGAGAAATAGAGGGTGGGACGGTAGGCAGGTTGGAAGAGGATGGAGGTTTGGCCAGAGACAGAGAGTTGCGACGTTGATAGGTAATCAGGGGGAGATTAATTATGGGTATAGAGGCTGAAGGGGATGAATACTTTTGTGGAGGGACATAAGTAATGGGGGAGATATTGCGAGAGGGAGATGAAGATAGACCAGGAGAAATAATTGGCAGTAGAGATGGAAAAGTACCTGAACTGTCAGAGAGGCCTTGGCTTGCGGCATATTTGGACGAAAGTGGTTGTTGAGGCAGTTGCAAGGTTGGTGGTGGAAGATCATTAACAGAGTTTAAGTCCAAGTTATTATTCTTTGATTTGAGGTCATCTAAACAAACTTCCCATAATATATTAGTACTAGAATTATTTTTGAATTGGGAAAACATGTGTTGAAAAGGATAATTTTCTTCAAAAAATAATACATCCCTTGATAAATAAAGTTTGGAATTGATAGGACCAGAACACAGTTGGCAGTAATATTTGTTAGAGAATCCCAAATAAACACAGGGAGTTGAACGGGGCTCAAGTTTATTGTTAGCATAAGGTCGAATCCAGGGATAGCAACAGCCAAATATTTTTATCGATTCATAATTTGGGGTTTCTTGGAAAAAAATCTCAAATGGACACTGATCTTTTATATTAGGTGTAGTTAACCTCTTTATAAGATAAACGACTTGGTGACAAGCAAAACTCCAAAATTTAGATGGTAGTGAAGCTTGGTGTAACAGAGTCTTGGCAATTTCAATAACATGTCGGTGGCTCTGTTCAACCAAAGATACTCTTTGTGGTGTATAAGGAGGGGATACCAAATTTTCAATACCTTGTGTTTTTTATGTATAAAGAGAGACTTTCAAATTCACCGCCACCGTCGGTATAAAGAGAAATAATTTTTGTTTCAAATTATCGCTCAAGCAAGGGATGTAAACTTTTAAAAACCTCGGCAACTTCATGCTTAAAATTTTAATGTGTATAACCACATATATTTTGAAAATTGATCAACAAATAAAACGTAATAACATTTTTTATCAGCAAACAACACCGAGGAAGGTCCCCATAAATCAGTGTAAATTATTTGTAAAGGCCGTTTGCTTTGCAAGGAATTTTCGGAAAATGGTAACCTGTGCATCTTATTTGAACAAAAAGAATTATAGACTGAAATAGTTTTGGAATCTGAAAATGGAAGAGAAAACTTCTAAAAAGAGCTTATTTATAACGCGACTGTTGGGATGTCCGAAGCGCCGATACCAGAGGTGCAAAGGAGGGGAAAAATTGCATTGAGGATGGGTTCTTGTACTACCTAGTGGCCACTCATAAAGTCCACTTTTACTCTGCCCACGTACCGAATGCACCCCCGTAGTCAAGTCCTTCACAAGATAATGAAAAGGGAAAAATTCAATAGATGTCTGATTGCCACAACAAAATTGTGAGTCTGAGACAAGATTTCATTTTATGGAAGGGGCACACAAAGTATTTAGCAAGGTAAATTGATAATTTGATGCACATAAATTAGTGTTACCAGTGTGGGAAATTGGTATGGTATTACCATCACCCATTGAGACCGTCTCCGGGCCGTGATAATCCTGTGTAGTAGTTAGGCTATGAGCATTAGATGTAATGTGATGAGTGGCTCCAGAGTCCACAATCCAAGGTTCCTATTATTGGTTTAGACGTCCAGCATAGTTGCCACGTGCTTGGAGGTGATTATGGGACTGTGAGCGACAAACTATTGCTAAGTGAGCAGGACGATCATAGAGTTGACATCATAGTTCATTGCCTGAAGGTTGTTGCTGCTATTGCTGATTTGTTCTTGGGGTCTGATGAGTCCACAAATTGGATTCATTTAAGTCTATATTTTGATAGAATTAGTACCCTCAAATGCATATTTTGTCTCAATATCTTATGAAAACCCTTAAGTTTCAGGTATTTGAAATTTGAGGCAAAGCATGGACACTACTTGGCAAAAAGGAACAAGGCGGCTGAAAAGAACGAAGAAATGAAGGCTTGAAGATTGCCGAGCCCAGTTGGAGAGTCGCCGATCAGCCTGGAGATCGCTTTTTGTTCCAGGTACTGAGCCCTGAAGGGAAAGATCAAGTTAGCGATGAAATGGAGCAGTCGGCGTGTCGCCGAGTAGTTTCGCAAAGCAGTACTATATCGCCCAACCACTTGAAGTGTAAAGATGGTGAAGGCTAAAGCAAGAAGGTAATGAAATCGACCACAAGGCGGATCGCCGAGTGTATCGGTGATACCGACTAACTACGCCTAGAGATCCACTGCAACAAAAATTTTCAAACACTACAAATACTCGTTTAAAATTGTCAACTTAGTATCAAGCCATAGACAATTGTTATTCACACTTAGAATATTTTAATTTTCAAGTTTTAGAGGGTTTTGGAGACTTTGTTCTAAGACCTTGAAGATTCAAAGGGTTTCAACTCCAAGAAATTGGGCTTGGGTCTCGAAGATTCTTCACTCTTGACGTGTTTTAAGACATAATCCTTCATACCCAGTTGATGGAAACTAATATTGGTATAAATTTTTATCTCTTTTACATGCCTAGCTAAAACTACAATTCTTGGGGTGTGATTTTGTGAGTATGGTTAGATTATCTGTTGGATTTTGCTTGTTGATGGTTTATTTGTTGCTTAAATGTGATTTCATTTAGTAGTTGTGTATGAACTTAATGGAGTTGTAGTTGCAAATATGATTTCATCTTAGTGTTTTCGGCCTGCTCGAGAGAGAGGTCGTTAAACTAAGACTACTAAATTGATAGCCGGTGGTATTGGGTCGACATAGGTTCAACTCGAGAGAGTGAATCCTAGTCCTTCTACCACACATTCAGTTTGAGAGAGTGAATGGGTTAAGGCGGAGGCTATGCTTAAAGCGGCAACTCGGTGTTTGAGAAAAACCAAGTCGATTCGGGGTAAGTTGCTCGAGAAAGAATTTACCCCCACTATAGTCCAGGCTAGTCACAAATACTCAACAATTTACTATCAAAAGCATGTACCTGATAGTTTAGTTTATCCCGTATTCCTATCACATCCCAAGAATCCCAACTCTCTATCTAGTTTTGGTATATTTTCGCTGTTTGTAGTTGTTAATTAATACAAAACCCCTATTGATAATTGACGCTTGCGTCACCCCCTTTAGATTTAGTATGTTTATATTCTATAATGTCTATAGCTATGACTAATTAAAAACTAAATTTTATTTTTCTATTAATTATCAAAACCACTCCCTTATGACTCGACCTCAACCCTTGGTTGGGTTACTTTACTATTGTACGATCGTAGATACTCGAATTGGAAGTTATGTCCTGATTACGCAAAAATCAAAATGGCGCTGCTGCCGGGGAGTGGTGTTATTTGAGAATTTTTAGTGTAGTAAAACTTTTTTTCTTCTTAGTCGTATTTTACTATCTTTATTTTTAGTTTTGTTTTTCTTTGTGTTCTTGTTGTAGGCAGATACCCTGAGCGTGACAGAGGGAAATGGTAGCAAATTGGCTGAGACGAATCAAGAAGTCGAGAGGGACTTCAAGTTAATAGCACTGGTAACTCAGCTGAACGATTTGCTCACCAAAATATCAAAGGTGGGAGACTAATGCAAAAGTCAAGGGAGGTACATACCCCCTCATGAGCAAAAAATGTCTAGAGATAGGGATAACAATCGTGTCGAGGACACACTACAAATCATTCTCCAAAAGTTCACCGAAAAAGATCGAGTGTTGGAAGAGATGAAAGAGAATATTGAAGTGTTGAATCAAATGATTGGCTCTCATTCTAGATCGATCCAGCTGATCAGGACACTCATGAGTTATTCAGTGCCTCCTCTCCACTCAAATGAACTATTGGGGTTACCTAGTAACACTAGGGCCAACCCCAATAATAGAGTGTGAGTAAGGACTTGCGTTGGGCTACGACGTTAACTAAGGCGCTTCTTGGAAGGCAACCCAAGGCCTTAAATACTTTATTTTTGTCTTAGAAATAATGGTGTTCTAATTTTGTAGGTTCGAGTGTGAAAAGTGTGAGAAAAGTGTAGGTTGGAGGACA